ACTATGATCCATAATTCGTATTCTCCAATACAACCAATCTCACAACATGGTGTGCACTGTATATATACTCATATCCATTGCCTTCTCTTCTCTCATCATTTACATTTTCTGGTGCCATGAGGCCATTCATGAAGTCATCCTCCCATTTCATTTTTTTCATCATTTGTTTCTCTTATCTTTCCATTGACCCCCCGCGCTGATAATGTTGACCACCCCTTGATAAATGTTCCTTTGCCTGCATTCAAAAGCTCATTGGAGAAGACCAAGGAACTTGTGCAAAATGTGGCCTCTACCCATGTCACATATGCATGCTGGTGAAGATTATGAAAATTCTACCGTTGTGCTTAGATTTGTGTATTGGGATACAGTCATAGTTTATAGATGTGTGACATTGACACATATTATGTTTATGTAAAACTTATTTTAGTTTTTATAGTCTAACTATTTTAATCGATGCCATATATGTATATATACATATATTTATTGGGTTAAAATGACAAGAAAATTATTGTATCTATGGCACAGCTGATGTCGTTTCCCATATGGGAACATGGCTGAGTACTTCGCAATCCAAAGAAAAGATATGCATGGACACTTTTCAAAATATGATCGACTCAAATGTTGCGGAGAGCCTTAGACAAGTGACAAAATCAATCGATGAGGTCCTTGGTATGATCCAAGTGCAGCAGCAAAATCATCTTCATCGTCATAATGTTACTGCAGCTCCAGGTTCAGATCCTGATCCTTATGATCCTGCACTTTCCCGGACGGCAGACGTCACCGTTTCACAGGATGGGAGTGGGAAATTCAAGAGAATAATGGATGCCATTGCGGCTGTACCAAGCCATAGCCAGAAGCAGTTTGTGATATTTGTGAAGAAAGGAGTTTACAAAGAATATGTGAAGATTGATAAAACAAAGATGAACTTGGTGTTGATTGGACAGGGCATGAGTGTTACCACCATATCTGGCTATAGAAGCAATGCTAGTGGTTGGCAAACAATTGATTCGCCTACATTTGGTAAGGCATCAAAACTTTTATCCAAATAATTAAGATATTATTTTCCTTTTCAAGACTAAATATCAAAGTAAGATAACACATGCCTCATTTTAATTAACTTTCATTGATTGCTGATGTAGATGTAAGGGCCCAAGGATTCATTGCAATGGACATAGGATTTGAGAACACTGCAGGACCAAACAATAGGCAGGCAGTTGCTCTTTCAGTCGGCGGCGACCAGTCTGCTTTCCACCGGTGCAAGCGGCACCATCGACTTTATCTTCGGATACGGCACGGCGGTTTTCCAACCCTCTAAAATTGTTGCCAGGAAAAACATCAAAGGCCAACAAAACACACTCACCGCTAGTGGTCGTTTTGCAGAAGACTCGACAGGGTTCTCTTGGAGTATTGTAGCATTGAAGCAGATTTTGATTTGGCGGCAGATGTGAACTCTACGCCCACGTACTTGGGTCGACCTTGGGGCAAATATGCACGTACCGAGTTCATGAAGTCATCTATGAGTAACGTTATAAGGCCAGAGGGTTTGCTTTGTGGAATGGGAAATCTGCCATGAGACCTTGCTCGCGCTATGTTTTTTCACTCGCCATTTTGCTCGCGTTATGTTTTTTCGCTCACTATTTCACTCGCACTGTGTTTTTTCACTCGCCATTTTAGCCATTTTGCAAAAAGAAAAGCCAAACACTAGTGTTAATTAAAATTTCAAAGTTAAACTTATAATTTTCAAATTTTGAAATTAATCTTGTATCACCTTGCTGTTCTTGGTTGGCAGGTGATTCCCATAATCCACAGCTGTGAAGAAATGTGCCTTGTTGGTGAAGCATACAATGGTGTTATTCTTATGAACCTTGTTGGAGTGATCCTCAAATCCACCGATTGTATGAAATGAACGGATGCAATTGTTGCATGGAAACAGCTCATTTTCCCTACCCATTTTCTTCTCTCTTTCTCTCTCTCTTGCTTTTTCCCATGTTTGCTCACACAGTAAATTGTTGTTTGGGGACTGAGAAAATGGGGGTTCGGTTAAGTGATAATGCTATGTTTATATAATTGTAGCATGGCCGGAAAGAATGAAGAATGACGCTCTGTTTTTTTCGCTCGCCATTTTGCTTTTATGGCAAATAGACAGACCTTGCTCGCGCTATGTTTTTTCACTCGCCATTTTGCTCGCGTTATGTTTTTTCGCTCACTATTTCACTCGCACTGTGTTTTTTCACTCGCCATTTTAGCCATTTTGCAAAAAGAAAAGCCAAACACTAGTGTTAATTAAAATTTCAAAGTTAAACTTATAATTTTCAAATTTTGAAATTAATCTTGTATCACCTTGCTGTTCTTGGTTGGCAGGTGATTCCCATAATCCACAGCTGTGAAGAAATGTGCCTTGTTGGTGAAGCATACAATGGTGTTATTCTTATGAACCTTGTTGGAGTGATCCTCAAATCCACCGATTGTATGAAATGAACGGATGCAATTGTTGCATGGAAACAGCTCATTTTCCCTACCCATTTTCTTCTCTCTTTCTCTCTCTCTTGCTTTTTCCCATGTTTGCTCACACAGTAAATTGTTGTTTGGGGACTGAGAAAATGGGGGTTCGGTTAAGTGATAATGCTATGTTTATATAATTGTAGCATGGCCGGAAAGAATGAAGAATGGCGCTCTGTTTTTTTCGCTCGCCATTTTGCTTTTATGGCAAATAGACAGACCTTGCTCGCGCTATGTTTTTTCACTCGCCATTTTGCTCGCGTTATGTTTTTTCGCTCACTATTTCACTCGCACTGTGTTTTTTCACTCGCCATTTTAGCCATTTTGCAAAAAGAAAAGCCAAACACTAGTGTTAATTAAAATTTCAAAGTTAAACTTATAATTTTCAAATTTTGAAATTAATCTTGTATCACCTTGCTGTTCTTGGTTGGCAGGTGATTCCCATAATCCACAGCTGTGAAGAAATGTGCCTTGTTGGTGAAGCATACAATGGTGTTATTCTTATGAACCTTGTTGGAGTGATCCTCAAATCCACCGATTGTATGAAATGAACGGATGCAATTGTTGCATGGAAACAGCTCATTTTCCCTACCCATTTTCTTCTCTCTTTTTCTCTCTCTTGCTTTTTCCCATGTTTGCTCACACAGTAAATTGTTGTTTGGGGACTGAGAAAATGGGGGTTCGGTTAAGTGATAATGCTATGTTTATATAATTGTAGCATGGCCGGAAAGAATGAAGAATGGCACTCTGTTTTTTTCGCTCGCCATTTTGCTTTTATGGCAAATAGACAGACCTTGCTCGCGCTATGTTTTTTCACTCGCCATTTCGCTTGCGCTATGTTTTTTCGCTCGCCATTTCACTCGCACTGTGTTTTTTCACTCGCCATTTTCGCCATTTTGCAAAAAGAAAAGCCAAACACTAGTGTTAATTAAAATTTCAAAGTTAAACTTATAATTTTCAAATTATGAAATTAATCTTGTATCACCTTGCTGTTCTTGGTTGGCAGGTGATTTGCATAATCCACAGCTGTGAAGAAATGTGCCTTGTAGGTGAAGCTTACAATGGTGTTATTCTTATGAACCTTGTTGGAGTGATCCTCAAATCCCCCGATTGTATGAGGTGAGCGGATGCAGTTGTGAGCCCACTGAAGATCACTACAATCAACACCTACTCTCTACCCTATGCCTATCCTCCTCTCATGATAACCTAGTATCTCTCTCTCTCTCTCTCTCTCTCTCTCTCTCTTTCTCTTGCTTTTTCTCATGTTTGCTCACACAGTAAGTTGTTGTTTGGGGATTGAGAAAATGGGGGTTCGGTTTAGTGATAATGCTCTTTTATATAATGGTAGCCTAGCTGTAAAGAATGAAGAATGGCGCTATGTTTTTTCACTTGCCATTTCACTCACACTGTGTTTTTTCACTCGCCATTTTAGCCATTTTCGCCATTTTGCAACAAGAAAAGCCAAACACTAGTGTTAATTAAAATTTCAAAGTTAAACTTATAATTTTCAAATTTTGAAATTAATCTTGTATCACCTTGCTGTTCTTGGTTAGCAGGTGATTCACATAATCCACAGCTGTGAAGAAATGTGCCTTGTTGGTGAAGCTTTATTTCTCTTACATTATACTTGAAGATTTTAAAGGTATTTGGTTTACTTAAGCTTGTTCTTTCTCAAATTTGTGTTGCTTCAATCTTAATTCACGTATAAACGTCTTTTGAAGATTTATTAAAATTCTACATGTGTTTTACATAGTTAATATCATTTCATTTTGAAATTTAATTCATATTGATAGTCTCATCGTATTTCCATAATTTTGAAACATAATGTGTACGTATGCTTGAAGATGTTAGTGGAATATTGGACCTAATATGAAAATATAAAAATGAAAGTCTGACGCTCTTTTCAAATTGGCGTTTGTAGCGAAGGCGTTAATCCACCTTAGCTTTTGAGGGCGTGAAGGCTTCTTGCTCTTGAAAATAAACCTCAATCCACCTCAATGTATTGCAGTGTTCCTTATATTTAATCACAGAAGTGTTTTTTTACCCCTAAAAACAGTTTAATTTGAATGTTAATTTCCTATTGTCAGATGATCCAAGTTCTAAAACATAATCACAAGGCAAACAAGCCTATAATTAATGCATGTCACCCTTAACTGAAGTGAAAAACTAAAACACAATCACATATGTGTCTCATAACACACATTAACGTGTTGTTGGGTGCACCACACCCAGCTCTGGGGTTGACTTTGTGGTCAAGTGTTCTCAACCTGACTACAACCTTATTTCTGCTACATGTGAAAGTGGTACCTTTTATTTGTAAATATAAATAAATAACACAAAGTGTGTCAACTAATATGTACAATGGAATAACATGAATAAGAACAATTGTTACCCTCCCAAACCATATTTGGATAATAAATTCGACCATCTCTCTCTTGATTTTGAAATAACCATGAAGTCTTATCACACAATAGTAAAGTTGATTTTCTTTTTTCATCCTTCATGTATTCATACGTGGATGAAGTTTCAATTGTTAATTCATGTCAAATTTATTGTCAAATTATATCATTCAACAGTTAATACACTGAAATCAACTATTGATTCTTGTATTTGTCTTTCTTTTTTTAATAGTCTTTCTTTTTCAGTAAATTATTTGGCATGCCATATAAACATAATTTCATTACAAGTAGACTACCTTGATAAACCATATAAACATAAGAAACCACTCATCGGAAATGGTCAAAAAAAAAAAACAAAACAGCATCCATTTCTTTAAATTTAAAAATATAATACATTATATATCAGCACAAACCTTCGTGTTACTGAAGATGGTCAATCGACCCCCAATTTGGATTGTGCCAAGCCTTCAACTGTAAAAAAGAAAGAAAATGAGTAACTGCACTGAAGTCCATTGGCTTGTCAATAACCTAGAACATAATGTGAAACATATGCGGCCATAGAGAATCTGTGTAATGAAAGGAAGAACAGCATGGTTGTCGATTTGATCATTGTCACCAACATCTTGGCATTGAACCAATTGCCCCCAATGCACCAAGCTCAAAGCTAAGATGCCAAGTGAAGCAAATGTGCGAAAAGTGGTGCCTTTGAGGCTCTTGGAGCTCATTATGAAAAAGAAATACCAAATTTCAAATGGGTTTTGGAAATTTAGTGGAAAAAAGTGAAAGAAAAAAAAAATTGAATTCTGGGTTTAACCCTTTTTTCTCTGCTTAATACATTGACCCAAAATAAAAAATGGAACTTGGTGTGAGATCTGAATGTGGGCTTGGAAACAAACTGAAAGGGGTTTCTGGTTAATGGGTGATAGAGAGAAAGAGAGAAACAGAGGCCAAGAGCTTTGGGGTTGAGTTCAGAAGTCAAATGGAAGATAGCTTGAGAGAAGCAAAAAACGTGGGTGAGAGAAGGAAGAAGAAGATGCAGCGGGTGGGGCCTGAGAAAGAGTAAACAAAAGCACGTCCGAACTAGTTTGGTTCAAGCCGGCTTTCAGACATGTCTTGTCTTATTGTCTCTGTCTGAAACAATTCCGCAGGACAAAGGTTTGAGGGTTTTGTTAAATCCACCGATTGTATGAGATGAACGGATGCAGTTGTTGCTTGGAAACAACTCGTTTTCCCTACCCATTTTCCTCTCTCTCTCTCTCTCTTGCTTTTTCTCATGTTTGCTCACACAATAAGTTGTTGTTTGGGGACTGAGAAAATGGGGGTTCGGTTAAGTGATAATGCTCTGTTTATATAATGGTAGCCTAGCTGGAAAGAATGAAGAATGGCGCTCTGTTTTTTTCGCTCATCATTTTGCTTT